AATTGACAGCCTATCCAGTATTTCTTAATATTGCTCCCCAAATCTAAGCAAACAAGTTAGAAGGCAGTGTTTTACAGAAATGTATGGTCTCGAGGTACAACCGTAAGTGAACTAATCAGACACACAAGTTTAGATGTCGCGTGATTTCTCTTATATGAGAAACCCAAAGTGTAAAAAACTCAAAGAGCAAAATAGAAGCTACATAACAGAAAAAGAGAGGCAGAGCTTTTGTAGAAGAAAGGGGATAAAGAGATGTAGCAAGGAGAGGGAGAGAAGAGAAGGAAAAAGGAATTAGGATACGTTACGCTCCGGGAACACCTCCCGCGGTGGATGTAATCACTATGTACTGCACACATGGACTCATAAAAATAAAAATTTATGGACAGGGAAATGGATGATATTACATAGGGAGACACGCTAACCCACTGTGCCCCAGCAGGACAGCAGCAGCTCTGGTGGCTGTGAGATAGGGTTCTGAGGTCTCCACCACGCCCCCCAGACCCTCAGCAGGAAGATCAGTCCCTGGACATCAGCCCCACACTGATAAAAAGCAGGAACCCCAAAACAGAACGCTGTGGGCACTAAGTGACTTCACGATTGTAAAACACATAGAAAGATGCTGACAGATACTGAGGGCTGCGTACAAGTTAATTATTAGTCTCTGCCAGGGCCTTGCAGACCTTTTGCCGGAAGGACTGATTTTATTTTCGGGAGCCAAACCTACTGCAAAACATAAAGCATTTGTGATTCAGTTAAAGATGCAATACTCTAATGACGGACATACAGATACACACACACACACACACACACACACTCACACACAGTGCTACCTTTTAGCAACAATTTAGTCAATAACCATCTCAAAAATCAATAACATTGGTTTTACAGATGACTTCCTAAAGAATTTAAAATGTGATTCAAGTATAACTCATTTTTTAACCCAATCCCTCACCCCTCAGGATATTCCAACTTTCTACATTTCAGCAAACAAAAGTCACAAAATCCCAGCCTCCCAGTTCTCAGGCCCAAAATGCTTAATTCATTTCTGTCCATTGCTCTTTCTCTTATCCCAAATCCAATCCCAAACTAAATTTATTTGTTGTTTCCTGTCCCTCGTCAGTAGAATGAAAGCTCCAAACAGCAGGGATTTCTGCTTCTCATGTCTACTGCTGGCTCCCTTAACCAAGACAGAAGAGGGGCAAATCTTTCTGGAGAAAAAACACTGCAAAGTCTCTTGTACCAACAGCAAGCTTTGGAAAGCAGAGTATTAGGCACACAGCCCTAAACCATGTATGGTGGCATTTAATTCTGCAAGTAAAAGAAATCATTTTTCAGAGGTTGTTTGCAGGAACATATTTTTATGGCAATTAGAATTTTTATAACAACATATTTCATCAACATCTATTTAAAAGTAAATTACTTCCATGGATGGTATTGAGGCTGGCTACGGCATTGTGTAAAGAAGCCAACTCAGATTTGTTCAACCCATTAATAGACTTTCCCATGGTGCCCTGTTGCTCCTTCATCTCTGCCATCTCCCTGGGATGGAAGATGTCCTCCCGCTCACCGGGTAGCATCCAGAACACAGTAATCATTCAATAAATGTCTCTCAAATGAATGAAGACTGAAAGAAAGAATGGACTCTAATTTCCCTCGGGGGATGCCCTGTGTGAATACCCAGTAAGTGATCATCAATACTCATTAGTTAAGTGAATGAAGATAGTAATCAGTAAGTGAGAGTCATTGAGTAGGAGCAACTATCGGATACATCGCTTGGCACATTAGGTTGGGTTGTTCTGTCCTGTGAGAAACAGCACCGCAGAGCCATGGATAACTCGAACACTTCAGATGGAACTCTATGATCACACATGAAACAACCCATTTCCATTTCTCAACTCTGTCTTACAGTGAGAAGCAGTATCAGACAAGGAGACCATCCACGTGCTGAAGCACTTGTAGTGAAAGTGTAGACTGAGTGGGAGGAGGAATGCTGGAAGATGTTGAATACTGACTGTGTCATGTGACAGCTTTTGTTAGATAGGAGTTCATGCGGGCCCCATCAAATTCAGGCTGACCCCAGAGACGGGCCTGCTTACTTCAGTTCATTTGCTGGTTCATGAATTCAGCAAGTCAGACAGCTTTCGTCAAGCTGAAGCCACTCTTTAAACAAACAGCCATGAGTGCACGAGCTGCTACTTCTGTAACTTGCTGGAAGCTGATTACTAAGTCAGTGCCTACATTTGTTTTTCTTCCGGAAGTAGAGTCTTGTTATGTAGCCCAGGCTGGTCCTGCACTCATGGCCCTCCTGCCTCAGCCTCCCAGTGCTGGGATTTTAGATGTGGACCACTACATATGGCATAAATGCTTCACTGATGCTCTCTAATAAACACCACAAGTGTAAATTGATGAAGAATTAAAGAACCACATTATAAACTAAGTTGTTCCACAAGGAGATGTTTAAATTGCCTTGGATGTGACAGAGTTGTTGTCATGGGAACAAATAAGAGTTACAGAAACTGTCTCCCATGAGGACAAAGAAAAAACATACATTATTATTTAAACGGCCACATGCTTGTGAGGAGCAAGGAACACCGGTAATAAATGTGCTGATCATCCCAACAATACACATGGATGGGTGGTAAAAAATCAAAGAAAAGGAAGACAAAACGAAAGAACAGAACTTTGCATTGTGACAAAGCTACCGTTGGCTCAGACAATGACAGAGGCATTTCCATCGAGGACAGTGGTTCAGGTCTTCTTCACGCTGTTACCTTATCTCCAAACATGCATTCTGGAGACTGGGATCAGTGCCATTATCTACTGATTTTCCTTGGAAGATGTTGCTTCACCTCAACACAGAGACAGCTAGTGTCTACTTCTTCACTGATATCAGCAGTCCTGGGAGACCTAAGTAATTCCCCCACACCATTCATCCTTATAATCACGTAACTTGTGCAGTGACACTTGGGTAGCTGTTTCGGAGTCTGCCCTAATCCTAGCTCTGGTTGCAAACATGCTGCAGGGTGGTCTCAGTAGCCTTCTGCCCTGAACCCATCCAGACCCTTGTGCTCTTTATGTTGCTGTCAATGTACGCTGGGTGGGAGAAGATCCGGTTGCATGCATGTGTAGCTGCTGCACCTAGCAATCATGCCTCTGTTGTGCACTGGGGTCTGCATTGTTTTCTTCCTGTCTTGGTTTGGCGTGTCGATTCTGGGATGCCACTGCAGTACTGAACTATAGCTGTCACACGAGGGGCCTACCCAGATCCTCCTGTTTTGCTTTATCATAGACAAGAAGCTGAGACATCCTAGGACTGAGGAAGGTCACCTTCACTGATTGTGAAACTAATGAGCCCACGGGCCTGCCTAAACTCAGGGGAGCAGGAGGGGTTTTCAGATTTCAAGCACTGCCACCTGAATACTGACTGCTGAGAAAAAATAAGGCCATTCTCCATGCAGGACAGAAAAGAAAACCAAGAGCCGTCTTTGGCAAAAGGGTCAGTGTAATAAACAATTAGAGAAAGCAAATGACAACAGGCTTTTATAACGGTTATGGATCTCATAGCTAATATTCAGAGTGAAATACCTTAGGACACAGGAGAGCCACGAAAGTCACAGACCAAAGTTCTCATCTCATTCTCACCCAAAGCAGCAATTCCACCCAGGTCACCCTGTGGCTGAACTATCCAAAAATACATCAAATAACCACTATGGAGGATGCCCCTTCCCCCCTCATGTAGCCGGACTGGTTCATTTCACAACACCTCTTAACGGCTTATTCCATTATTTTCTATGACGTGCTTTATATTTTCCTTCACTACTGAACAAACTTTGCTGCCATGTGAAATCTTGAGCATTTACATGAAATAATATGTGTGAAAAGCCAGGGAAATAATAGGAAATCACTAAGAAACTAGAGGATTTTTATTAATGAAGGGATGAAAAAGCCCAAATCATTCTTATTTTTATATTTCAGCATTAAGTATAAAAATCTTGCATAGTTTCTTAAAACCCTTAAGAGATGAGCTAATCAGAAAAAAAAGTCAATTCAAAAATAAAGTTGTGTGAATGTCAATATCAACATCTAAGCTGTAACAAAACCCAGCAGCAACCTCCACTGTGTTTTATATGTAGTTTGCCTTTTCATGTAAACAAATGTTTAAGGCGCTTTTTTTTAGTACATGTAACAGAGAAAAGAAGAGTCAATAAAAAGCCTAGACATGGCCGATGATTGTATGCCATTTGGTTAAAAATGTAAGAAATGAGAAAGAGTTGAAAAATGAAAAATCTAGCCACTCTACTTAATACTGACTTGTATCGCTGTGAATAATTTCCCTGAAAGGTGAGTGCCACGGAGCCTGCCTCAGTGTCTGCACAGGTTGCTGTAGGAAGATGCGACCCGCTTGCTTGTTTCCTAATTCCCTTGTGTTCTGGGATCATCAATAATGGCTCATACACATGTTTTTCTCAAGTGAATTATTATACATTGTGAAATACTATTAGTTAAGAATAGCCCTTGACATGCCATCTCTTATGATTTGGGCCTAGATGTCCCTCCAAAGCCTCATGCTTTCGTCGTACGTGGCTGGATCTAGAGTGTGTGATGCTAGGATTAAGGGCCTGTGATTATTTAACCACTAAGCGTGAGAGAATGGTTTGGCTCCGCCCTAATCCCTGGTAGCCTGAATAAGATGAAAGGAGCAGAAAGATACTACTAAACTCTCTTGTTACTTTTGTGGTCTTCTACCGCCATGAACTGTTGCTCCCCTTGTTACCTTTGCTACCTTGTGCACGCCATGTTGTTTCTCCTCTGTGATGCCTGTTTGCCATCCCTTCCTTGGAGCCAGCTGGTTATGGACTGAAACCTCTACAAACCGTGAGCTAAATAAACCCTTCCCCTTTAACTTTGAGTGTTGGATATTTTGTCTCAGCAATGAGAGAAAAGTAATTAACACACCATCCGAACTTCAAATGATAGATAAACTGGATGGTCCTACTTACCAACACCAGCAGCAGGACAATATCAGGGTTGTCACACGCACAGGCAATGTGCATTGGCGTCCAGAAATCTTCGTCCTGGTGGTTGACATTGACCCCTTTGTCAATCAGGACCTCTGCAATGAAGGAATTGTCATATCGAGCACACTGGAAGAAGGAAAGAAAGAAAAAATAAAATCAGAATAAACTATAAAATTTCCAAATTTCCATAGCAAACTATGAAATTTCCATAGTTGGAAAACTTCAGTGCTACCCTTGGAAGATGAGAAGTGAAGCCAAACTGGGAAAAAATGTATCCCATGTTCCCCAACTCACCTACAGGAGAAGTGGGCAGACCCTGCACTGATAGGAAACTGGGCCAATGAACAGTAAATTAAAGGAAGAAAGAAGAGGTAGATACTAAGAATGTTAAAATATACTATCTTATTGCTAAAGTTCTTTCCACTTCTAGACAAAAAAGCTTCAGCTATTTACAGTAATTATTAGAAAATCTTTAGCCATTTACAATTAGGTATTTTCTAAAATATAGACCTGAAAATATTATGCTTCTGGTTCAGAACATGGATAGTTTGCCTTTACTAAAAAGAATGAAATTTAACAATTTTTTGGAATCCAAGTATACAAGACTCTGGAAATCACTTGAACTTCATCTGGCATCATTCTCATAAGGGAGGCACACGACTTCCAGGAGACTTCCTAGTAATCCCACGGCACACCATATTAGAAAAGCTACCTGTGGAAATTAAAATGTCTTCTAACATAAATTTTAATGATTTTGTAATATTATAATTTATAGAAGCTCCACAATCTCCTCAGTCAAATGGTACAGGAACCTACTTTGTTCTTATTTCAAACCTCAGGTAAATATATGTCTAAGTCAGGCTGGCTTCCTGGGTACACGTGTAGTCTACAAAGTTGTGCTTAAAAGACTCCTATGCTGTGTTAATATTCTCCTGTTGCCATCTTGAAATTTTGATAATTATTGAAATTCAATATTCACTTATTTCTAATTATCTATTAATTCTATTAATTTATAATAACCTAATAATATTAACTTCTAATAACCTAATATCCATTTCTAATAATCAATTAATTTAATAGATTATTGAAAAATCAATGTTGCCACAAGAAGTGCAGTCATACAAATTCATCCAGCTATACAATGGCTAGTTTAATTAAAAGCAAATTATCGAAGGCAACCACTTCTGAGTATAACCTCTAAGTCAGGAAGCAAGAGGAGCCCTGCCATGTCCAGCTGACTGTGTCAAGAGTGCTCCAGGAACAGCACAAGGAGGACCCTGAGCTGCCCTTTGAGACTGTGTCTCTGAGGTCCACAGAGCGGAAAGGGCAGGGCTCCAAGAAGAGGGACTTCAGCATTTCGAAGAAGATGACGGCAGCCCTGCACTGAAGATTGATCAGCGTGTGCTTTCCGGGCAACTTTCCAAGGTCAGAGGGCGAGCATCCCAGAAGGAAGGGCACCCCCAGGGCACATGGCCCATGGCCAGGTTTGCTCTCCAGACTGGAGACGTCACAGCCCATGGGGCTCTTGAGGAGCCCCAGAGCAGAGGGACGATTTGGGCCAAAGTAAATGCTGCTGCGTTCCCACCTAAGAGATCTCAAGTTTACGTCCTGAAAAGATCAACTTGATTCCAAATGACAGCCACCAAGAGAGCTCAGGAATATTTACACAGGTATGAAAAGCTTGAATACCCAACAAGTCAAATTCTCCTATGTCTAAAATCTAATAAAAATGACCACAAATGCAGAAACTAGTAAAATAGCACCAAATTAAAAGGAAAACATATTCCATGAAAAGCACCCCAGAAATAAAAACACCTCTCAGAATTGCAAATTAGGGCATCACAACCATTATTATAACTATATTCTATATCATCAAAAAACTGGGGAATTATTAATTGTGCTAAGTAGATACATGAAAAATATTAAAAAGACTCAGATCTAATACTTCTAGAGATGAGAGAGATCCACAGGGACTGGGATGAAAAGGCCGCTACTGGATACAACTAGCAGCACACTAGATAGGTAAGAAAACAAAGCTAGCAAACTGGAAGATGCAATGAATTACACACTGCAACAAAGAAAGACAATATCTTTAAAATATACTTTAGTGTTTAAAATTAATAACAATGGAGTACGGACTTTATACTATATATAGATGTACAATATGTGAAAAAGGGAGAAATGGAAATATAACATTTTCAGTAATGTTTTGAACCACATGCAAAGGGGTAGAATAGTACTGGAAATGAGAGTGGGTTAAGTCAAAGGTAGAGCCAGAAAATGCCAAAGCAGCCATTAAAACAACAAATGTAGCACAGAATACTACAAAAGAGAGAAAGGAGTCACAAACAATAACCCCAAAGAAGGCAGAAAAGAGGACAGGGAACGAATGGGAGGAGTAAGCAAAATGCAAATGGTAGATTTCAACTTAACCAGAGGTATCAGATATAACAGCAACAGACTTTTGGTAAATATATTTTTAATTAAAATGGCATCAAAATGTGGAATATTTAAGACTGTACAGGGGTGATTGAAACACAGTGAATATTTAAATTTTAAAAAATAGAGTAAAAGACATATTACCATTAATTGCCCCAAAATACTTCCCCTCACTTCCAATACTGTCATCCCATCATCCCAGCATTCCTTATCTCTTTCTGGAGGAGCTATGAAGTCCTCTTTCCTGTCTTTATAAGGTGTGATAAAAATGGGGTGAATACTGCTGACTGACGTCAACCAACAGAAAGGCAGCTTGTGAAAACAGACCACTGTTTTCATCCACCTTAGTCACCAGATCAGCCACCGGGCAATTTCTTTCCTTTTCTTTCTTTCTTTCTTTCTTTCTTTCTTTCTTTCTTTCTTTCTTTCTTTCTTTCTTTCTTTTTCTTTTTCTTTCTTGCTTGCTTGCTTTCCCTTCTTTCTTGCTTGCTCGCTTTCTCTCTTGCTTGCTTTCTTTTTTCTTTCTTTTCTCTCTCTCTCTTTCTCTCTTTCTTTCCTTCCTCCCTCTCCCCCTCTCCTTCTTCTTTCCCAAAATCAAAATGAACATGAAAGGTAAACATTTTGAATCATTTCAGGACACCAAGGCAGCCAAAGCAGCACAACTAAAGATACTCCTGAAAGATGACTTCTAGAACTGCTTCTGAAAGTGCCAAAGAGCCTGTGAGAAGCAAGGGGGAGATTTTTGAGGGGCATTCATGGCAATGTGTCTTTCACTGTAATAAATATTTTTAAGTAGTCATTATATGTTTTGTTCATACATCTTACCTGACCAAAAAAATATGTAAAAAACCTGCGTGTTGAAATAACAGAACGTTAGTGAGGCAATATTTTTAAACTTAAAAAATATGAAATACAGACTTTGCTTATGGGTCAAAAGACTGCATCCTTAACTAATTCTTTCCAAGTTGATATATAAATTCAATTCAGATGCAACCAGAATTCCAGGGGGTGTTCATGTAGAATCTGAAATAATGACTTTAAAGTTCCTAAGTCAATAGCTTCAGTTTTGCAATGATGACAGAGGGGGTGAGAAACAGAGCATAAATCTTCAATATATTAGTTTTAGAGTATGGTAATTGGATCCGATTTGTTTTTTGAAATTGACAGGCAAATATTTCCTTTTCCATTCTATCTTGTTGGTACCTCACTCACAGCAATCCATGAGACCTAGAACAGCCCAACAAAATTTGAATAAAAGCAAAGCTGGTGGACTATCACCACCCAACTGCAGCACTTTTTATAAAGTTACAGTGATCAGTGCACAGTGATGTTGGCATAAAGTCAAATGGACCAGTGAAACACAGGAGAGAATTCAGAAACAGAGCGACACATACGGGGACAACTGACTGTTGAGAAAGCTAGAAAGGCAATTCAGAGGAAAAGGAATATTATTTCAATTTTTCTCACCCCATCACCTGGGTGTGCACACATAGAACAACCTTTTTGTTCTTCACTTTTCTCCGCACCAGAGAGAACATTTATGTACAATGCTAAATGGTGAAAAGTGTAAAAACTAAAATTACAAAAGTTCTGTCGGGCACACAGAAGGTCTAAGTGATATCACCCATCACCACATTACCTGATAAACTCCAATGTACAGTAAGTCCAGCAAAAAACCCTGGCATACGGTCCCCATGGATATTAGTAGACATGAAAGCTGGGATGCAGGGAAGCAATCCAGGTGCTGGGAAACATGCGGCATTGGATGGAATACTTACAGCTTGGAACTAAGGTCCTGTGTCTACGATGTTCCAAATTGTATGTGTCAATAACAGAAGTCACTAATATCAGGAATCTGATGGCATGAACTGTGGCCTCATCCACCACAGCTTCAGTTTGGGAAACAATGACGGAGAAAGTGAAGATTAGAATATGGATGTTCAACAACTTGGTTTTAGAATGTGGTACCTGGATCCAACTTATTCTGTGAAATTCATGTGCAAGTACTTCTTTTCCACTCTCTTTTGGTGACTCATTGTGCAGTTAAAGCAGTGTGACCTCCTTATGAGCCTGTCTAGGAATCCACATGTATCATTCAGATACCTGAGGACTTTCAGTGTCTTTCACTAAAAAATGTTAACTAGATACAAGGCCGACAGTGGTAGCAGCCCTTCTCCAGTGATGTAACATTTAAATTCACAGTTCAGAGAATTATGAATAATAATTTGACAGCAATAAATACCTTTTAATCATGCTTGTCCAAAGAGATTGTGATGGTTTCCCATCCCTGCTACAGTGTACTTACATTGTCAATTCAGCGTAAACCTGCTTCTCCCTGGAAAGAATGTTCTTGAGGGCAGCTGACCTTCCTTCCCATCTGATCACTCTTCATCAGGGAAAAGCAATCGCTAGTGACACTTTACAGCACCAAGAAGTTGAAGGCGCCTGCCCTGTCATGCTCGCCAGAACTGTGACAGCACTAGTTCTCTCTGCCTGCAGCTGGAGCAGTGAACCCAAGCTGCCACTGTCACCGTCATCTGCCTCTCAAATCCCAAGCAGAGCTCCCTGCATAATCTGTGAGGTCCACTGCAAAATGAAAAGGCGGGCCTTCTTACTCAACAGCATTAATAATTCCAAGATGAGGACAACCAAGCCTGGTGTCCCCCTAACCCGGGCTCTTTGGCTTC